AATCCAGGAACACATCAAAAAAAAGTACCAACTATGACCAAGTAGGCTTCATCCCAAATATATCAATTAAATACACCATATTAAAAAACTGAAGAAAAAAACACATGATCATCTCATTAGATGTTGAAAAAGCCTTTGACAAAATCCAACAGTCCTTCATGATAAAGGTTCTAGAGAGATCAGGAATACAAGGAACATACCTAAACATAATAAAGACAATTTACAGCAAGCCAACAGCCAACATCAAATTAAATGGAGAGAAACTCAAAGCAATTCCACTAAAATTAGGAACAAGACAAGGCTGTCCACTCTTCCCATACTTATTCAATATAGTACTTGAAGTTCTAGCTAGAGCAGTAAGACAACAAAAAAAAAAGATCAAGGTGATACAAATTGGAAAGGAAGAAGTCAGATTTTCACTATTTTCAGACAATATGATGTTATACATAACTGACCCAAAAAATTCTATGACAGAACTCCTACAGCTGATAGGTTCCTTCAATAAGGTGGCAGGATACAAGATTAACTAAAAAAAATCAGTAGCCCTCCTATATACAAATAATAAATGGGCTGAGAAAGAAATCAGAGAAACATCACCCTTTACAATAGCCACAAGTAATATAAAATACCTTGGGGTAACTCTAACTAAGCAAGTGAAAGACCTATATGATAAGAACTTTAAGTCTCTGAAGAAAGAAAAAAGAAGATATCAGAAAATGGGAAGAGCTCCCATGCTCATGAATAGGTAGGATTCACATAGTAAAAATGACAATCTTACCAAAAGCAATCTACAGATACGATGTAATCCCCATCAAAATCACAACACAATTCTTCACAGACTTGGAAAGAACAACCCTTAACTTTACTTTTTTATTTCAACAGTGCACATCCATTTTTTATCATTTTTCTTCATTAAGAAATTTTCTACTCACTCTACATACCACCCACAGATCCCACCTCCTCCCTCTCTCACCCCTCTAGCCCTTTCTCCCAAGCCATCCCACATTCCCACATCTCCCAAGGGGAGTCAGCAGAGCTCAGCACACTGAACTTCATGAACATCCAAGCCTCTCCCCACTGCACCAAAGCTACACAAGGTATCACACCACAGGCACCGGATCCCAAAAGCTTGCCCATGCACCATGGATGGATCCTGACCCCCGTGCCTGGGTGCCTCCCAAACAGTTCTAACCAAACAACCACCTTCCATATCCAGAGGGCCTAGTCCAGTCCCATGGGGGCTCCACAGCCACTAGTCTAAAGTTCATGGGCTTCCACATGGCCTGTCATTTCTGCACGGCTTTGCATCATGATCTTGATGTCCCTCAACTGCAGAATCCCTCCTCTCTCTCATCAATTGGATTCCCAGGGCTCAGCCTGATGCCTGGCCATGTATCTCTGCATCTGCCTCCATCAGTCACTGGACAAAGGCTCTATTATGACAGTTAGGGTATCTGCTAGACCGATCACCAGAGTAGACCAGTCCAGGCACCCTCTGGATCACTGCCACCAGTCCAAGGTGGGGTCATCCCTGTGGATTCCTTAGAGCCTTCCTGGCACACTGCCTCTTCCTATTCCCATGATGTCCCTATGTTCTCATGCTCCACACCTTGCCCTCCACCCACCCACCCACACCCAATCCACTCATGTAGATCTCATCCACTTCTCCTTTGCTGGGTCATCCATGTGTCCCTCCTAGGGTCTTTCCTTGTTATCCAGCCTCTCTGGAGCTGTGGGTTGCAGTCTGGCCATCCCTTCCTTCACATCTAGCATCCACTTATGAGTGAGTACATACTATGTTTGTCCTTCTGAGTCTGGGTTACCTCACTCA